AAAAAAAAAAAATATGAAAAAGACCCACACTTTACGCCATATACAAAAACTAATTCCAAATGGATCAAAGACCTAAATACAAAGCCCAAAACTATAAAGTTCATAGAAGAAAAAATAGGATCAATGCTAGAGGCAGCATTAACAAGATACAAATCATAACCAACAACACACAAACTCCAGAAGATAAGCTAGATAAGTGGGATCTTCTAAAAATTAAACATTTATGCTCATCAAAAGACTTCAGCAAAAGAGTAAAAAGAGAACCTACAGACGGGGAAAAAGTGTTTGGCTATTAAAAATCAAAGTTTTAATTTCTAAAATCTATAAGAAAATCCAGTACCTCTACAACAAAAAGACAAACAACCCAATTAAAAAATGGGCAAAGGAAATGGGCAGATACTTCACCTAAGAAGACATTCAAGTGGCCAATAGACACAAGAGGAAATGCCCGCAATCAATAGCCATTAGAGAAATGCAAAACAAAACCACAATGAGATACCATCTCATCCTGGCATTACTGGCACAAATCAAAAAAACTGGAAATAACAAATGTTGGAGAGACTGCAGGGAGATCAGAACTCTTATGCACTGCTGGTGGGAATGCAAAGTGATACAACCATTTTGGAAAACAATATGGCACTTGCTTAGAAAGCTAGATATAGAAATACCGTATACTCCAGCAATCCCACTTCTAGGAATATATCCTAGAGAAATAAGAGTTGTTACAGATATATGCACACCCATGTTCACTGCAGTATTGTTTACAATAGTAAAAAGATGGAAACAACCTAGATGCCCATCAACAGATGAATGGATAAACGAACTATGGTAGATACACGAAATGGAGAATTATGCAACGATAAAGAACAATGATGAATCTGCTAAGCATCTCATAGCACAGATGAATCTGGAGGGCATTATGCAGAGTGAAATAAGTCAATCACAGAAAGATAAATATTGTATGAGACCACTACTGTAAAAACTCACGAAAAGGTTTACACACAAACGATCTTTGATGGTTACCAGGGAGGGGAGGGGTGAGGATGGAAAAACACTAAATAGACAATGGATAAGTGGTAACTTTGATGAAGGGTAAGACAGTACGCAATACTGGGGAAGCCAGCAGAACTTGTACAACGCAAGGTCATGGAAGCTACATAGACACATCCAAACTCCCTGAAGGACCAAATTGTCTGGCTGAGGGCGGTGGGAACCATGGTCTCGGGGAACATCTAGCTCAACTTGCATAACATAGTTTATAAAGAAAATGTTCTACATTCTACTTTGGTGAGTAGCGTCTGGGATCTTAAAAACCTGTGAGAGGCCATCTAAGATACACCGCAGGTCTCATCCTTTTGGGAGCAAGGGACAATGAAGAAAACTAAACATACAAAGGAAAGATTAGTCCAAAGGACTAATGGACCACACTACCACGGCCTCCACCAGACTAAGTCCAGCACAACTAGATGTTACCTGGCTACCACCATTGACTGCTCTGACAGGGATCACAATAGAGGGTCCTGGACAGAGCTGGAGAAAAATGTAGAAAAAAATTCTAACTCACAAAAAAGGACCAGACTTACCAGCCTGACAGAGACTGGAGAAACCCTGAGAGTATGGCCCCCGAACACACTTTTACTTCAGTAATGAAGTCACTCCCGAGGTTCACCCTTCTGTCAAAAATTAGACAGCCCCATAAAACAAAACGAGACTAAAGGGGCACAACAGTCCAGGGACAAGGACTAGAAGGCTGGAGGGGACAGGAAAGCTGGTAATAGGGAACCCAAGGTCAAGAAGGGAGACTGTTGACATGTCATGGTGTTGTTAACCAATGTCGTAAAACAATATGTGTACTAACTGTTGAATGAGAAACTAGTTCTGTAAACCTTCATCTAAAGTACAATTAAAAAAAACAAAAAGAGAAATGAAGTCCTGATGCATGCCACAACATGAATGAATGTGGAAAACATTATGCTGAGCTAAGTCACCAAAGGCCAAATACTGTACGATCCCTCTTAATGAAATAAGGAAATATGTAGAAACCAAGGATTATTAGTGGTTACAAGGGGTGAGAGGGAGAGGAAAAGGGGGGAATTTTTGCTTAGGGGACACTGAGTTTATGTTAATGTTGGTAGAATAATTTGGAAAAGGATAGCGATAAAGTTTGCACAAGATAAAGAATGTAATCAATGTGACTGAATTATACATGTAGAAATTGTTGAATTGGTGAATGTTTTGTTGTATGTATTTTCACCACAACTGAAAAAAAAAAAGAGTAGACCACCTACAAACTTTCAAGAATGAGCTGCTCAACAGCAAAACTGCATGCAGGAGGACAACGGGGTAATTTTTTTTCATAGTACTTGCCCAAAATCCATATCTGCAATTTTGAAACCTCAAAAACTTTGGAAAGCAAACGGTTATTGATTTTTTTGATAATTTGCTAAGATTTATTAGCAGAATATAACCTTATCTTAGGCAACAAGAGGCTATGTATACTTTTTTAAAATCCCATTTTAGTGTGAATATTCATACTCTTTGCTGCAGAAATATTAGAGCATTTAATTTGATTGCAGTAACCTCCATCCTTCTGTTGTCTGCATTAAATCGATTTTCTAAGGTTACCTGAAGGAACCTGAGTGTCTCAAGCCATTTGCTATCAGGCGCTAGCCTAAAAGTTGGCAGTTCAAATCCATCTAGTGGATCTGCGGAAGAAAAGGCTCGGCAAACTGCTTACGTAAAGATTATAGCCAAGAATATCCTGTGGAGCAGTTCTACTCTGTAACCCACGGGGTCTCCATGTGTAGGGGGCCTACTTGACGGCACCTGACAACAATAAGATGGCAGAAACTAGTCAAAATACAGTATTCAAAAGAATATACAGAAAGGGCTAAATAGTTTTTCAAAGTGAATTTTTAAAAAACCTACTTATATGTTGCTGATAAAAGGTCATTTAAAGTTGAAAAAATAGTTGGAAAAAATTTTATCATACAAAAAGTAATTTAAAGAAATAAGTTTACCCGTGTTAACATAGGAGCCCTGGTGGTGCAGCGGTTAAGAGTTAGGCTGCTAACCAAAAGGTCGGCAGTTCGAGTCCAACAGCTGCTCCTTGGAAACCCTATGGGACAGTTCTACTCTGTCCTATAGGGTTGCTATAAGTTGGAATCAACTCGATGGCAATGGGTTTTGCATTTTCGATATTAGTGTAGCTTTACCCTTAAGGCAAAAAGTATCATCAGAATTAAAGCTTTAGAACACTGTAATAAAAGCTTCAAGTCCCAGGAAAATACAACAGTTCTAATTATCCATTTACCTGATAATAATAAATACATTATTATTTTTTTATATTCCCTCATATTATTACTATAAGTATGTAGTATATCTCTCTATATATACATATCAAGGGTCGCCATGAGTCAGAAAAGACTTGAAGGCAACTAACCACAACAACAATATATATGCATATACATAAACATATGTATATATGTAAGAAACTTACTTATATTAGAACTCTTTATAGTAGAAATTGAAAGAACTACAAGAAAAAATTGACAAAATCATGATTCTAGATGAAGAAGGTAAAGAAGAGGGTCAGCGTAAAAGAGGAAGACCCTCAACGAGATGAATCGACACAGTGGTTACAACAAGGAGCTCCAATGTATCATTATTGTGAGGATGGCACAGGACTGGATATTGTTTTGTTCTGTTGCGCATAGAGTGGCTATAATTCAAAACTGACTGTATGGCACCTAACAACAACAACAACAACCTCTCTCCTACAAATTCTCACTGAGAAATGTTTATCTATGACTCTGTATAAATCAGAAGCAATTCCTAAAGGACTGAACTAATGTCTCTAACACCTGGTTGAGAATGGAGCTAAAACAAAATTTAAACATACTTTTGAAAACGTTAAGACACCATCTATTTGAATAACTATGTTTGTCAAACTGAGAATTTTTCTGCTACGTGTATGTGTGCTTGTTTTCATGTTTTTAAAATTGTGGTAATTCCATACAATACAGCCTTATATCCAGACTTATTTTTTAGTTAATAATACTTTTGTTATGCCACTTTCTTGTCTTTTACCCAGGCTGCCACCACAGCCACCAAGTTTTCTTCTTATCCTGGAGCCAAAAACACAAAAGCCCTCCTCTAAATACCAACTCATGTCAGTAGAAGCCAAATAATTAATTTTAAAATCTACTTTAATCAAAATGCATTTCCATTTGTTTAGGTCTCAGTAGTGGTGGAATAAAAGATGTCTTATAGTTACCTGGGTAAATGAAGAATGAGAATCAAGCTGCTGCTATTTTCACTTTTCTGACTAGAGTTGCAATCGGCTCTTTTCCTCTCTGAGAGATTCCAAAACAAATTCTCCCCTTGTAATCTTGTGGTTACCAACTAGGTACCAGATCATTCTCTACTGAAATTCCCACAGGACTCACCTAAGCTGGAACTTCTTCCACAGTAGTCTATCTTCAGATCGTCTTCAGAAATACAAGAAACACTATTTATCCTGTAAGAGTAGCAAGTAAATCAGGAAAGCTCTCCAGAGATTGAAATGCAGTTATAATCTTATGAAAGACTAAGAAAATGAAGTATTTTGAAAGATAAAAAGGAAAAATGGCACTGGTTAGAGTCACTTAAAAACTTGTCTAGTGCTGACTGTCTCTTGCTTTGCCATCACCCAGGGAGAGATAGAAGTTATGTTTTTATGAAATAACTGTGAGACTCCTCCCATAATGTTCTTAGCTTTCGGTTTCCTGAGGCAGAGAAACTGAACAGTGTCCTTCCTGTAGACCTATGAGTCACAATGAAACATTAGAAAAAAATTATTCTTTAAATTTTTTTTTGTTGTTGTTGTTACAAAAGTCTATACTTAAAAGCAGTTCCAACATTAGAACTTTCTTATCCAGCTGACTTGCATGATGGTCAGCAGAAACCAAAGTCCCTTAAATGGGGCTCAACCATGAAAGGGCAAAAGTGGGTCAGATAATTAATTCTTCCTTTTTCCTGTTTACGAAATAGCAGTAGCAGGAGGAGTTCTGGGAAAAGGCATTTATTTCTGCCAGTACTTGACTGCAGCTCCTAGATGGAGGCATGCCAGCTGTGAAATTCTCTGTAGTTCCAGTAGTAGATAACACATTCATCTAGTTATTAACAGCTGACAAATCCGGAGCAAAATAAAGGCAGAACATCATAATATGCAAATCCTTTGAAAGTATTTGAAAATGAATTGTGTACTAGTTGCCCTCTTGACTGTGACTAGGAACCACTACTTCTATGATCCAATTTCATGATTAGTGTTGCCTTTCTGAAATATTCACAGATAATCACAAGTGAGTAATAAACTCATATGATGACAACAATGAAGCCTGGCAAATTCTGTAAGAACACTGAGGTTCTGCAAGAGTGGAGGACCCAATAAGCACTTTTGCTGCATTTATTTATTTATCTATCTATTTATTTATTTTATGTTAAGGATAATGGGTGCACTCTGTGGAATTGTAACCTTGAGATGTCAAATAAATGGCACCAATTGACAGATGGTACAGTGGCAACCCACTAACAGATCTGTAAGGACGAGGCATGACTAAAAAGCTAAATTTGGTAGATAATCTGAGTTTTATGAAGGGAAGAAAAACACTAATTGGGTTAATCCAAAGTACAGTCATGGAAGAAAGAGTTGAAGTCTGGCTTTAGAAACCATCTAAATACTTCCATCATAGAAGTAGGAAGTCAGAAAATAGCAAAGAGGAGTTGGAGTGACTGCCACAAAAACTTATGGATGTCCACCATTCTCTTTTACACATGTTACTGTGATGTTTCTGTGAATGCATTGAGCTGGTCTTAAAGTAAAGATAGAAAGGGACATTACGGAGGATCAGAGGGAGGCCCAATCCAGAGGTTAGGAGGTAGGCAACACATGGCAGGAAAGACCATCATTCAGGACATGTTCTCATCCATTTTTTAGAAACTAACTTATAGGGTCAATATGAGTCAGAATTAGCTTGACAGCAACAAGTGGTTTTTAACTTATGTGGAGGGATGCTCTCTGTTGGTACTCCAGCAGATAAACACAAATTTCTGACCCAAATAAAGGTAAGTCAGAACCATGCTCCCAAAAGCATATGTTGGTAGATATCAATCTGTGCTTTATCTGACATAAAGGCACAATTCTTGAGGCAGGATTCTACAGTCTTTGTAGCCTGCAAAGGCAGCTGGAATCTTCCAGATGTTAACCTCATTCAGAACTCCTCAAGACTCCCTCTAGGGCATTACTATTGCCTGGATTTTTATACCTTTTAAAAGAAGGGAGGGGAGTGTCTCTAAAATAATATTACTTGACCAACTACAATTTCATCAATAAAAGCCTATTTTTAACATTCATCATATGAGGTCAATTTGCCAAAATTTTTACCACATTTTGCAATCAGGCCGTGGAGTATTATGATGCTCCCAGTGATTCCCGTGTTCAAGAGGGTGTTGGTTGCATTGAATGTTTTCTTGGAAGTTGAAATGCTTGGCATATTTGTAGGGAGGTGGGACCTTAGAAAGTGTCACAGGGTCCCTTCCAAGCTGGTATCCATGAGAGAAGCATGTTGGCCCTGAAGTATCCATTCATATCGAAGTAGCAATACCACATCGGGCCTGAGGTGGTAATGACTAGACAAGAGTTCATCACAGAATCCAGTGCAAAAATATCAAACAGGCACGGGTTGCTAACTCCATCTTCCCACAAATACACATAGAAATGACAGAGGACAATATGGGTTCTTGGAAAAAACAGCAACACAATGCTAAGAGCAAAAACAAAAGAGCAGTCTTCAACTTGTATGTGTGAGATGGTGGTGGTAGAGGCTGTAGCTTGGGTCATCTCTGCCACTTTAGGCTAGAGTTTGGGTGACAAACTATAATAGATAATGAAGGTTTGAAGCCTCTTCTTGAGTTTCCCTGCCAATTCAACTCACAAATATAGGCATGTGAGCTCTGCCAGTGACTGTGAGGGGCAAATCATGGCAGAGTAGAAGGGAGGCTGGGATAAGAATTGAAGAACAGAGATATGAACTACTTTTTCTACCTCCTTTTTCTGCTCAAATGGGAAATGGTATCATTAATCCGAGCCTACTCTTTGATAGGTTAGAGAAACATGCAATTATTACGATTGTGATAAATACTATAAAGCCAAAGTAAAGAGGGCTATGAGAGCAAAGACAGGACGCTGTGATGTAATACAGTAATGATGTATCAGGGGAACTTGCAGAGCTGTAAATCTAGGCTGACAGCTGAGGAGTATTGGGCCAGGGAAGAGATAGGAGAAAGGGATCCCAAACTAAGGGAGTAGCATATGTGAAAACACCTAATCTTGGAAGAAGCATGGAATGGTGAACATGAATACTGAAATGATTTATGCTATTTACACAAGCAAAGGGAAAAGGGTGGAAAATAAGATGAGATGTAGGAGATAAACTTCCTCTCATATCCATCTCTACCTGTCTAAGTTCCAGCACTCTCTCTCTAACCCAAGATTAACCAAAGACAGTAACCCTCCTGATGACTGGAATTATGTCATGAATGCATCCCAATAGGAAAGGAATCAGAATCCTGTAGGATTTCAAAGTAGACCCTTGACCAATTATTGGACATTAAATTAGACAAAGTAATCGTGTAGAGTTGGGAATTAGATGGAAGCAAGTTACTTGTATTCTAAGTTTCACAGATTCACAGATGGAAAGTAATTTTACCCCAGGATGGAACACACCCAAAATCTCACCCATACTTGATTTATATGATTCTGAAGATGAGATTTTGGCCTTAGAGTTGATTCTGGAATTGAATAAGACTTCTGGGATGATGTGATAGGGTGAATGTGTTTTGCATGTGAAAAAGATATGAATTTGGGGGGTCCAAAGGGTGAAATGTTACAAAGATTTTTGCCCCCCCCATATGTGTTGGAATACTAACCCTTATACCTGTGGATATAATCCCATTTGAGAATAGAGTTTTCTTGATTATGTTAATGAGGCCATTATCAGTGTAGAATATGTCTTAAACCCCCACAGATGGGGGAAGATAGATGCGATACCACAAAAAGATTGCCAAGGAACTGAGGAACAGAAGCTGAAAAGAGACAAGAACCTTCTCCCCAGAGCTGACAGAGAGAAAAAGCCTTCCCCTAGAGCTGGTGCCCTGAATTTGGGCCTCTAGCCCCCTAAACTGTGAAAAAATAAATTTCTGTTCTTTAACCACTTGTGGCATTTCTGTTAAAGGAGCCATAGACAACTAAGATAAGCCCTTAACATATTAGTCATTGTTATTTTAAACTTCTTGTCCAATCTGATACCTGCCTGATTCCTCAAACTGTATTTTCTTTTGCCTTTGTCATGCCTTGCAGTTTTTTTTAATCCCAATCATTTATTTATTTATTAAATTATACAAAATATTTATTTACCATTTCACGCTTTTTTTCTAGAGTACAGCTTAATGATTACAGCTACTTTTGTCAAGGCGTGTAACTATTTATCCTTAGTCCATGCCAGTATTCCCATTACTATAAACAAAAATTCGCTACTTCCCAGAGAGTGATTCCCTATCTCCCTCCCCATCCTCTCCTTAGTAACCACTAGCAACCATTTGTCTTTGTTGTCTAGTGTTGCTATAACAGAAATACCACAAGTAAATGGCTTTAACAAAGAGAAATTTATTCTCTCACAGTCTAGGAGGCTAGAAGTCTGAATTCAGGGTGCCAGCTCCAGGGGAAGGCTTTCTTTTTTGTCAGCTCTGGGGCAATGTCCTTGTCATCAATCTTCCCCAGTTGAGGAGTTTCTCAGAGCAGGGACCCTGGATCCAAAGGACGCACTATTTTCCTGGCTCTTGTTTCTTGGTAGTATGAGTTCCCCCTGTCTCTCTGCTTGCTTTTCTCTTTTATATTGCAAAAGAGATTGATTTAAGACACAATCTAATCTTGTAGATTGAGTTATGCCTCATTAACATAATTTCCTATAATCCTGCCACGTTAACATCATAGAGGTAGGATTTACAACACGCAGGAAAATCACATCAGATCACAAAATGGTGGAGAACCACACAATCCTGGGAATCATGGCCTAGCCAAGGTGACACACATTTTTTGGGGACACAATTCAATCCATGACATTTCACTCTTTGGCCCACCCAAATTCATGTCCTTGTCACATGTAAAACTCCATCATATCATAGCAAAAGTCTTAAATCAACTCTAAGTCCAAAATCTCATCTTCTACAAAATTCTTCTTTATCTGTGAAATCTAGAATACAAATTACCTGCTTCCAAAGTACAATGGTAGAACAGTTACAAGGTAGACATTTCTATTACAAATGAGATACATTAGAGGGAAAGAAGCTATAACAGGCACCAAGCAAGTCAGTAGAACACAGTACATTCGCCCTTAAGGCTTGAAAATAATCCTCTGCTCTCTGAGACCATTTAGACAATGACTATGCCCTACAGACTCTAGGTATTGGCCACACCTCCAGAAGATCATGCTTGACATTTCTCAAGCTGAAAGAACTGAATTAAAAATTCAAATCTTGAGTTGCAATGGTGAAGGATTCTATGAGGGAAAATATTAAACAAAGCAGGAAGCATCAAAAGAAGATGGAAGGAATATACAGAGTCATTATACCCAAAAGAATTGGTTGATGTTCAACCATTTCAAGAGGTTGCATATGATCAAGAACTGATGGTACTGAAGGAAGAAGTCCAAGCTGCACCGAAAGCATTGGAGAAAAATAAGGCTCCAGGAACTGAAGAAATATCAATTGAGATGTTTCAAATAAAGGATGCAGTGCTGGAAGTGCTCACTCGTCTCTGCCAAGAAATTTGGAAGACAGTTACCTGGCCAACCAACTGGAAGAGATCAATATTTATGCCTATTCCAAAGAAAGGTGAT